TAAAAGCTAACCACAAAATGTTTCGAAATGCCATCACAGAAAATTGATTCCACAGACTTCTAGGGGGCAGAAACAGGCTAAAAAGAAGCAAAGATATAATAAGACTCTGAATTTCACTGACATCCACAACTTATCACGAATCCCTTGCTCTTTTCTTAAAAGTCATAGTAAGGAATATTAAACAGGACTGTCTAAGTTAAACAAATTAACTAGTTGCAGGCACTCAATAAAAATAAATTTGAAGCCACATTGTGATGAATGAGATAATTCCTTCTCTGGGCCCTAGCAGTTGAGAATGGCAGGCTCAAGTGTAGAGCTGGGTTGTGGGGAAGGGCCGTAAAGAAAGTTCTGTTCATAGGAAGAGAAATAAGTCGTTAGAGGGGATAATAATGACAGGCTGAAGTGAGCAACTAAATCACTGATAGAGGAAAAATAAACCCTCTGGCAGGGACTTTTTACAGACCTCATCTAGCGACAGCTATTCTTCCTCAGAAAGACTTTTCCTCACTGTGGGAGAAGGAAGGGGGGAAGTAAACAAGGAGGATCACACCCAGGTGTAAGTGCTGCCCTAGATTTAAAAATACTGCCCATCAAACGCACTGCAGGGTTTCCACACTGAAGCCTTTCTAGCAGGTGCATCGTTCAAAACTTAACTACTGTTCTCAAGGACCTATCTATGTGCTTAATAATTATCATTACATTAATGATTTGCAGCCATTTTAAATCACATTCTACCTTCTGATTACAGAAAAATTACATACTCATGGGAAAGTAGCCTAATTTTACTATGCTTAAGATTTTTTTCAAGTAGTAAGAAAGTATTTAACTTACTGAGTTTGCTTATTTCTCCTGAAAGTTACTTAGTAAGCTTAATAGGAAATTATGTGTCTTTTTGTATATGTAAATCCTAGTCTGTTTATTCCATTTTATAGCTGAGTCTCAAACCCTAGACTTGATTACATTTCCTTGCATTTTTAAATTCCTCTAGCTGTAAAATAAATTTTATATGGCAGCATGTTCAATATGTATTCATAAACTTTTGTAACTAGAAAACTCTAATTGGTTCATATAAAAGAAACTAGAGACATTTAACTGCAAACAAAAAATAGGGTTTTATTTATTATTAAAATAAAGTCATGAGCTAAACAATAGGATTCCAATTATGCAGCACTGATAATGTAATTGGTTAAAGAAATTCAATAGCAATCTGAAATTTAGTTGAATTAGCATGTAATACTTTCCTGATACTGTGATTATTTTAGTAAGAGAAAGTGGCTTCATTTTGATCATCTATAGGACAGTAAATAGAAAATCCCCTCAGAGTGATAAATCTTACTGTTCTTTTGAGTTGTTTCTCATCTTAAGTGAAAATGCATTTAATGTATATCAACTGATATTTTTCCTCATTGTTACCATGTGTTTCTTCTTCTACCCCTTATATCAGTAAAGATAAAGCACCATTCAAAATTGATATCAATATTGGAATTCATAGGTATCTCAAAGCTTCCATTTACCTTAATGTTAATTGAGAAAGTAGGTGTTTACACTGATTTCCTAATGTTAAAGCACAGGGTCTGATTGCAGCAATAAACACAGTGTGTCTCTGTTCATGCATTTCCCAGTCAAAAAAAATCTTACCACTTAGTTTCATTCATTTGTAGTGTAGTGTTAGTCTCCATGTTAGAATTCTCAATATTAATAACTTATGAAAATACATTTGCTTTTGGTGAGCAAGCATTTCCGTTGTCATTGCTGCAAAATGTTTACCAGTTTATAGCATGAGCTATTATTTATGTTTCCATATTTGGGTTGCCACAAATTCTCCCAATCAGACATAATCACAAACACGCACCTTGATTTCACAGTTATCTCATTTGTTTTGAGTGGTAGCTAGGGGCAGGAGTTGAAATCCTTAACGTATTTCTGTAGCCTAAAATTAGTAGATTCCCTAAGGTGATTCAGGAGGAATTAATCCTACTCACCACCTTCTAGAAAAATACTAGATTTTTCTTACAAATGTTAAATTGTTTCAAATTCAGATCTACAGGAATTACCTCACATCTTGCCCACAAACAAACAAAATAAAAGGTAGTAACATTGAAAACACGTCACCTATTATATGTAACAAAGTACATGAATACCATATATTTCATATAGTATTAGTCATTAAGGAATGTTATGGCAAAATTCTGGAGTTGACCGTTTAGTTTCCTAGACTCCTCTTGATGAAAGTCTTAGAAAGGAAAAGGAACGAACAATTACAGGCATCTGCATTCTGCCAAGCACTGTACTAGGTATATCTGATGATCTGTTTAAAGTCAGTGTAGCTAAGTGGTTAAGATTACAGAATTGAGTTTGGATTTTTCCTCACACTGTTGCTTACTAGACTTTGACTATCTGGGCTAATCTCTCTATGTTTCACTTTTTCTCATTGGTAAAATGGGTGAAATCCTAGACCCTACCTCTTAGAGTTGCTGTGAGGATAGAATAAGTTAATGTAAGTAAAGCACTTAGAGCACTGTTTGGCCAGGAGTAGGCAGAAAATTAACATTCAATGTTGACATTATCTTCACCAAGTCTTATAAATGGAGATGTCCTTATCTTTAGTTTACTGATGAAAAAACTGGCACTTAGAGAGTTGAAGTAATTTATGGAGAAACAACAGAAAAACTCATACTTTAAATTAACAGCTTTTATCATTAAATTATGTTGATTTTCCATTCTAAGCTACATACTGATAGTTTTCTCTCTGCATATTTACTGAAAAAAACAAAGATCCTATGGCTGTCCACTTCCTTGGACTACATATGGTAAGTACCTTAAACCTCACTGCAAAGGGGATTACTCCAATACATAATCTATTCCTTCCATTTATATAGTTGGTGTGTGTGTGTGTGTGTCAGGGAGGGAGTGGTGAAGAGATGTGGGAACACTGGACTTTTTAATCTTAAAATTTACACATGTAGCATAAGAACGTTAACTTTTTTTTTTTAAATCAAAACGCCACAGAAGACATCTCAAGGAAAATGGAAACACTGTGTGGCCCAAATTAAGATAAAACAAAATTTCACAAAGACAAACTGAAATAAAGTAGGAAATTGTTCATATCATATGCACTGGTGGTAAATAATGAGTTTTTACGAATCCAGGTAAAAGGCAGTGCTTTGACTCTTAAGAGTGCCTCCAGCACTACCATAATGTTCACACCAGATCTTAAGAGCATCATGGAACCAAGTTAGACTTGATTTTTGAAAGTGGGCTGTCCATTCCACTTACTTTTGCAATAAGCTTTAGCTTTATACTAAACATATGAGGGTGTACCTTCTCTGCTATTTGTTCTATAACCTAATGATAGGAAAATTGAAAAAGGCCCTGAATTAACTAGAGTATTTTTTGTTTAAGGTTCATTGAATGACTGAATAATTTAGATAAGTCATTTTCTCAGTCTTAGTTTTATATTATTTAAAATTAAATTTTTGTTTTAAAAATCATGTTAACAGCTATTATTTAATTACATTCCCAAAGCAATCTTATGGAATAAGCTGACAATAACTAATGCCTCCATTTTATAGTCAAAGAATTCGGGTTTCAGAGAAATTCTTTCCATTGAGTCAAACAGAGCACAGAGTGGGTTATAGTTGATAAATATAGCCAATATTTCACTCAATCCACAATTCCAAATATTTTGTTTATTTATTCATTTCATCTTCATAACATCAAACACATGAAGAGGGAGCTATTATTAGATCCATTTTACAGATGAGGTGGCTGAGGCAGCACAAGATACTTAAGAGGTTAAGTATCTTGCTGAGGTTACAACTAATAAATGGCAGAGACTGAATTGAAGCTCAGATAATCTATTTCCCAAACATGTAACCACGTGACAAAACTGCCTCTCTAAGGGCAATAAAAATATTAAAACCTGTGATACCTTCCTTCAGGTTACTTAGACCCTTTTACCAAAGTAGTGAAAGCATAAATCGGCTTATCAAAGGAATGAGTTCTAGTTTTTTGGAAGAACATACATATTGTAATTGGAATGTATATTATTTTCGTGTTCCCAAATTTATCTAGTTCTTAAATTCTTGCTCTATAAGGCCTGGAGGCCAAAAATAGTCTTGCCTTATAGTATTTGAGGTTCAGACTATTAGGTTTGTGGCACTGCAATAAAATTGTTTCTGCTCCAAAACTAACCCAGGCTAGGAATATACAGGAATAGGAATTTAAATGCCCATAGGGTGCAAACCATAATTTAAAGCCACAGACATGGGACTCCTCTACCACCTAATCTGTAAGCTCCCTTAGATTTAACCCTTTTCTCACCAAACCCAGCAATGCCTATAGGGCATGCCCAGTTGTATGGTTAGAGCCTCACACCGAGTTTTACTTTCTCCAGGTTTTACCAGCTGCAAAAGGGAGGAGGAGACAGAGGATGGAGTTAAACAGGTAGAAAACTTGGTTCAAGACAGAGCAAGGAAGGCTGGAGAATGACGAGAGGCTACAGTAAAAAGCACTTTGTCAGACACAGTTCATCTTCGTCTGCAAGTTCGCATCTTACCCTGGTGGGTTCCTTTTGCATCTTTTTGGCACAGCCTAGGCAAGTCACGAAGATTTGTTGTGATTACTCAAGGCAGAGCCACAGTAAGGGGTGGGGCAAGGGACATCGGATCTAGGAGAATGCCAGTGCCTGTGTGAGTCCTGCTTGCCCCTGCATTCCTCGAAAAGCTGCAGCTTCTTTTCAAGGGTTCCAAGCAGGAGACCAAGGTGCACAAGTAAAGCCAGAGCTCATCATAATCATCGACTCCTTGGCCCCTTTTCTTTGACTACTGGGCCCTTTCCTGGCACCCTCTCAGGTATCCCCGCCCAATCACTACTAAACCCCGGAGAAGTGGAATCTCCATACAGCTTTCCATGGGTCTAGCAGGGGCCTGGGCATGCTCAGTAGGCTACGTGGTTCTCTGGTTCGTGTTTGTTCGTTCTCGTTCTCTTTCTCTCTCTCTCTCTCCCTCTCTCTCTGTCTCTCTCTTTTCTTTCTTTCTGATGGGGAAGGGAGGGTGGTGACAAGTTAGAAACGCCTGCGGCAGGTCCCCGCCCCCAGGATCAGGCTCCCCCTGCAAGGGGACGATGCAAAGGTAAAAACACCTTGCTCCGCAGCATCCAGACCTGGAGGGGCTGCGACCACGGGCCGAGCCCACCCATTCCCCAGCCAAAGGACAGGCCCGCCGCTCTCCATGGTACTGCGGAGAGCTCAGCTCCGCCCTTCTCTTTCAGAAGGACAGCACCCGGCGTCACGTAACCCAGCCTTCTCAGGCTCCACCACCGCCTTTTCCTTCCCAGCTCTTTCCCTCTCCTCCCCCTCCTCCTCCTTCTCCTCCTCCTCCTCCTGCTCCCCTCCGTTGCCTGTTCTCCCCTCCCGCACTCCTGGAGATAGACGCTCAAGCCTGACGCCTCTGAAAAGGCAGCAGCAGTCGCCTTATCCATAGACCTCAGGAAATTCGCTTTGACCGATGCATGCTTCAGGCTCTGGCTCAAGCTAAGGGGAATAACCGGGCAGGTAAAGCAGCTCAATTTGGGTTGGGGGGAGGGGATGGGGCGAGGCAAGCTGAAGAAGGATATCTTTCCCCATTGTAACTGAGCCAGGATCTGCCACAAATACACAGGGAAAGATGGGTGGTGGGAGGGTGGAGGAGTGTAGATCTTGGTTGTTTTGCATGAAGCCTTTTAAATAGATGGCAGGAAGATGAGATGGTGGAACTGGGGTAGTAACTTAAAGGCTGAATGCAGTGATTTATTAGCAAAAGAAAGAAAATAACAGACAGGCTAGATATTGAAGCAGTAAAATCCCTCTCTATGTATTTCTTTTCCTACTCATCAGCCCCACACTATGCCTATCCTTAATCTGTGCAGTAGACTCCGAGCTCCAAGAAACTGCACTGGTATTAGAGATGGAGCTTAGAGACTGGGCGGGAAAGCCAGAGAGAATTTTGGGTGTGCATTGGTATTGAAGGACTTTGCAAAAGCCAGGGGTGAAATAGTAAGCACTTCAAAAATTTCTCTGAGATTTCATGTTTTTTATGAGGATATATATATCGAACGGTGCATGGACAGGTATAGGGGTGTGTGTGTCTGTGTGTGTGATATCAGAAACATTAAAATATGCAACTGCAGCCGATGAGTGTACTGTATTGATCCTCCTAGTGACTTGGGATGAATTTGATTCTAGAAATGAAAGAAAGGATTAATGATGCTGTTAGTCTGCTTTTGAATTAGAGCGCTTCTTCTTTTGGCTGCAGTAAGGTTGTTTTTCAGATCCCTTTATTTCATCCTCTAATTTGTGAACTCGCCAGGTCTTCTGGCACCTAGAGAGAATCTTCTTTTCTCCATATAAATACAGATACTCACTCACATACAATGAGCTTCCTCCAAGAACTAGGAAAACCAGTTAACCTCCCTGTGGTAGGAATGTATATATATATCTATATGTACATATATATTCCTCTAGGGTTTTTCTCTCTTCCACCATCCCTTAAAATTGTCAAGGTGTGCATTTGTGGAGGAGGGCAGAAGGAACAGGAGAAAAAAGGTTATGTGATCAATGTGACATTAATACAATAATTGGCTCCAACAGAGTTACACACACAAGCAAAAAAAGAGGTTTTCTAACACATGAGCTTGAGAGTGGGTTCAAAGCACTACTCTTGATCATGACATTCCAGATTTATTTTGCAAATGACTGAAAATTTAGCAGATTCCTGAGTCCACTTAAAATACGAAAGTATACTGAATAATATGCTATTTCAGATGACTTGACGAGCCCCTTTCTTTGGGTTTGATACAGAAGACAAGATATGACTGGTGATTGCTGATGGTGTGGAATGTATCAGCCATAATAAATAAGCAACTGAGATTTTTATTTCCTTTTGCTAGTGGGCAGTGTGTATGTGCGCACACTCGCACAATGTGTGTGTGTGTATGTGTGTTCAAAGAGAGAACCAGTCATCAATTTCATCTGGGAGGAACTTGAAGTGGGATCCCCTAGCTTGGTGGCTCTCAGCTGACACCTGTAGGGATTGCTCTGTACTGAAGAGAAATGCTCTCAGCTCCCTCCATGGAGAATCAGCAGCACAATGCGGTGCCATAAATTACTGCTAGTTTCAGCTTGTAGGGGGAAAAAAGTGTTAATTGGATAGTCAACTTCCACGTCCAGACAATAAATTTGGGGTGTGTGTTTGTGTGTGTGTGTGCATGTGTGTATGATGTATGTATATTGTAGTGTGTGTGTGTTTGCAAGGGGGGGGATATAAGAAATAGAAAAATAATGCACTTCCTTGACATGAACAGATTATACATTTGTAATTTTTTTCAAAAGGTAAGAATAATTTTTTGGTTAAAAAATGACTTAGGAAAAAAATCAGTGTTTATGATTTCTGTACTATTTCAAGAACCTGTCAGATTAGAGTTGAATAAAGAGAAGTGATTTAATAGTATAGTGAGTGATTCAAAGGTATGGTTTTAAATTCTAGCATCCTGGAGCCATTGCAGCTGAGATGACATACATGCCAACTGCTGTTCTGACCACACAAATTGTGAGGGCTGACAGCCAGATACAGACTTCAGGAGGAGTTGGATCTACACTATTAAGCAAAGTATTAAGTACTTTATGCACCTTTAGATAAGTTAATATTAGGGCAATTGAGACAATGCCAAAAACATAAACCTGGCTCCAATTAGTGGTTTTCTTTTACAACAGATTATTCCTTTAATATAAAGGAGAACTATATTGTGTGAAATTTTGCAAGAGACTACCAAGAAACCATCAATATTCCTTCTAAGAAAAATAAAATGGCAGGAATGCTATACAAGTCTAAGCTGGCAGTTTCCTGCCAACAGTTTAATCTAATTTGCCAATTGTAAAATCTATTAACTGAGATTTGAATAGGCTGTATTTTTACTGTCTACAGAACAAGCACACAACATAAGTAGAAATCTTTAAAAACATTTTTTTCTCTACTCACATGTTTTAAAAATTAAACTATCTTACAAAAAGAAAAGGATAACAGTAATCAAATTTCTCTTTAAAACTTCGGGTTACCAACTAACAGTTATAATAAACTACAAGGGTGTCATGGCTGACTGTAAAATTGTGATATTAACAATTAGAAAATATTAGGACTTACTTGTAGTGAGGATAAAAAAAAAAAAAGCTCCATACAAGAAGGTTAACTCTTTGGCATACTAATAGGACCAGGTCTACACCTGTGTTATGAGCTGAATAAGGATTTATATAATACTATATTGACTTTAGATCTTAATTTTGACTTTAATTTTCTGCAGATATCTGGGTCCTTAAAAAAGACAAGATACAAGCAAAGTGCATCACCAACACACAGCCAATTGATGTGCTGTCATCTTAGTTTGGCCCTGCAGAGGCGGAGAGAAAAGAAGAGGAGCTGTTCCGATTTCCACATCTAACAGCTTCTGGCTATTTCGCAACTGCTGGGTTTGAGTCCTACTGTTGCTGTGGTTGAAAAGAAAAGTAAAATCCAACTTGTGAGACCATGCACAAGGAATTAGGCTTGGCTGGAGCGATGCTGAAGCCCATGCTATGACAGAAGAAGCTGGCCTTTGAACCTATCGGGTTAGGAAGTGGTGCCCAAAGAGGCAAGCGTCCCTTTCTCCGTTCTGCTTTAAGACAACACATCTGAAGGAGACACACTTGAGGCACTCACAAGCATCCAAGGATACTGGCTCACTGCTGGTTTCCTGCACTTTCTAGAGAAAAGTGTTTGCTTTTTATTGACTCTCACTGCTTCCTTTTGGCCTGGTACCACTGGTGGAACCTGGCAGATAATGGGATTTGAGGAGTTAAGTATCTGTTGACACCACAGATGCTCTTAAATTAGTTAATCAGACTCAAATGGGTCAGTGCTTTCCCTTGATCTTTTGTTGAAGCCTTTTCCAGAACGTTGCCTCCAAAGTGCATCCTCCCTTTGGTCTGGAAGTTCTGTGGCTACCCTGTACCACTGGGGTCAACGTTTTTCAGTTGGAAGAGGACTACAGGGAGAGAGGGAGGGGTTATTGGAAGAAGAAGAAGAAAAAAAGAACTAAATAAAGGCGGGCACATCCGTCCCACTCCCGCCTTTCCCCTTACCTTTCTGTGTCTCGGGACCCTTATTTCTTCGTCACGGTGTCCAGGACCATTTTGACCCTGTCGGCCCCGGCACCCCCCCGCCGCACCCCAGCCCCGAGCATGGGGACGGCGCTGCTTCAGCGCGGGGGCTGCTTTCTTCTGTGCCTCTCGCTGCTGCTCCTGGGCTGCTGGGCGGAGCTGGGCAGCGGGCTGGAGTTTCCGGGCGCCGAGGGCCAATGGACGCGCTTCCCCAAGTGGAACGCCTGCTGCGAGAGCGAGATGAGCTTCCAGCTCAAGACGCGCAGCGCCCGCGGCCTCGTGCTCTACTTCGACGACGAGGGCTTCTGCGACTTCCTAGAGCTGATCCTGACGCGCGGCGGCCGCCTGCAGCTCAGCTTCTCCATCTTCTGCGCTGAGCCCGCGACGCTCCTGGCCGACACCCCGGTTAACGACGGCGCCTGGCACAGCGTGCGCATCCGCCGCCAGTTCCGCAACACCACGCTCTTCATCGACCAGGTGGAGGCCAAGTGGGTGGAGGTCAAGTCCAAGCGCAGGGACATGACGGTGTTCAGCGGCCTTTTCGTCGGGGGGCTGCCCCCGGAACTGCGCGCCGCTGCGCTCAAGCTCACCCTGGCCTCCGTGAGGGAGCGGGAGCCCTTCAAAGGGTGGATTCGTGACGTGAGGGTCAACTCCTCACAGGTCCTGCCCGTGGACAGCGGCGAGGTGAAGCTGGACGACGAGCCGCCCAACAGCGGTGGGGGAAGCCCGTGCGAGGCGGGCGAGGAGGGCGAGGGCGGGGTGTGCCTCAACGGAGGCGTGTGCTCCGTGGTGGACGACCAGGCCGTGTGCGACTGCTCGCGAACCGGCTTCCGCGGCAAGGACTGCAGCCAAGGTAAGGCCCGACGCCCGACCCGCGGGGGCCGGGGCCTGGGCAGGGCGCGGGGAGGAAGGGGGCCGGGCTGGTGCATGGGGTCTTCCTAATCTGGCCAAACGTGTGGCAGTGCGCTTCGAGGGAAAGGCCTTGTTTCTGGGGGCCTCCCTACCTTACTCCCTTCACAGCTTCTCCCTTGACATCCTCGTAAAGGTTGGGCAGCCCCCACTTCCAAGTTTGAGTTCCTTCTGGAGACCTTTCTACCAACACTACTCCCTTCCAAGTGCAAATACAATGGCCTCTTCTCATTCCTCGGGTTCTTTGGCAGGTTGGGCCCTATATTTATTGGACCGCGACCCACCTATATGACCGCTGTACTTGTCTTTACCACTTCTACATCTGTAACACACAGACTTTGCCCTTAAGATGCAAACAAGCATCTAGAAGATTGGGCATCCGTTTGATGAGAAGTAAAGCACAGGAGAGGTTTGCCACGGCCGTGGTTGAGAATCCCCACGTGGTTGTGATCACTCGTGGTAAAGGACGAGAAAGACAGCGTTCACAGGCAGTGCTATGCCTTTTGCAGATAGAGCGGTAAAAACCTGCTTTTGGTTGTGGAAAAAGGGGAAGAGAGGATGTGAAGAGTTTCTTCATTAGCAGGAGGCTTTTTGGAATAATATTGGTTTCCACGGTTATATCCAAGTCCAACATTTGTCAAATTTAAGTAAAATTTTGTCATTTCTGTGGTTTCTTGAAGTGTGAGACAGGTCAGCTGATGTTTAAACATGTTAGAGATTAAATAACATTTCTTAATTAACAAATGCCTTATAAAGAGAAATAGAGTGGTAGAGAAATTTAGATGTTGCTGAATTGGGAAGCTGCTGCAGACTAATAAACAGGGATGCGTGTAAGGGATTGCAAGAGATTTTCTAAGGATATTCGGCTAATGACATTTATCTGGGTAGTGGAGGCCAAGTTGTAATTTCTGTGGTTCTTGGGGCTTAAAACAGTGTGGCATTAAACAACAAAAATCATACCTAAGTTCTGTTTTCTCCCCTTTAGAAATAAAATTCAGTCTTCAGTGTGTTTTTTCGGTGTTGTTACATGACAATGACCAAGGAAAATATTGTTGTATAAATACAGCAAAGCCTCTGAGCAGAAAGTGAGTGAATGATGTGAAAAAGATGAATCAGTGGCTAAGCAGGAGATGTCAGGATTTAAAGTAGATAGCTTAAGGGTCAAAGCAAGGCAATCAACACATGGATAAGTGACATTTGTGGCTGAAATGGGTGGAAAAAAAAGGTGAATTATTAAATCTGATTTCGAAAGCTGTAGGGACAAAAGCTCTATGTGTGGCTGCGTTTTATTGTATAATGTCTTTGTTTTTTGCTGACACTGCTAAGGGGAACTAGCCTTTGTAAATCTTATTAGAGTTGGCAGTTCTCTCTCACTTGACTTTAAGAGAAATGAAGACTTGATAAGATTAGTAATTGTTTAAACAGCAAGGAGAGTTAGTTAGGAAGAAAAAAATACTGGTCTTTAGGAGACTTCTGTAGCCTTCACAGGATTAGGAGGAGGGGAAGAAGGAAAGGGCTATTTTATTGCGCTCTGTCTTCATGTGAGTTTTTGTTTTTCATTATATTTTAGCTTAGGTAATTATAGAAAACTGTATTCCATGGCCTATACAGCACTTCAGCTTTAACAGTACATTTCTGTGGTTATAAGAGCAGGCTTTACAGTTATGTTTTACAAAATAAAAAAGATCATTTTTTTCTTCTAGCAAATCTAATTGTGAATCATGAATAAGATGCTGGGTAGATATGATAATTTCCATACTATAATTTGGAGTTGCATACTTTTGCATTGATTAATAAAAACAAATTTAAAAATGAACATTATTTTATGGGAAAATTGCCCTAAGTATCTTAATGCCACTTTAAAATACAGAGAAGGCAATTTAATGAAGGACACACGAAATGTAGCTTCCTTCCTTAAATTAGGAAACAAATATGACACAATGACAGCTTGTACTATGTGGGAGGGTGTTTTAAATGAAAATTTTTATTTTTCTGTGCATTTTTAATGTAGGGATTCAGAGATCATGCATAATCAGGAACAGTTAAGAGTGGAAAAAGTAATTTGTTAAAGAGAAGCAGAATTTGACATATCTGAAATGCATTTTATTTTGCAAATGGATAGCTCTTTCTATAAGATAAAGAACTTGGAATTACCAAGATGCATAATTGAACAGTATAGTGCCTGGGTACATAGGATAATTCAACTCAGAATAGCAAATCCATTAGGATTCTTCTGAAGCATTGAGTCATTTTGAAAATTTGAACTGAAAACGGAGTGCAAAAGATCACCACTAAACGTAGAAGGAAAACAAAAGGTTGGATTATTTTGAGTAGCACAGAATTGGGAGATGGAGTGATAAAGGCAGAGTCAGTCTTCCTAGAAGAATTGGCTCCATTTTGCTTATTTTCCCTATTTCATGTGTGTCAAGTGACTATTGAATAATTAATTGAGAATGGATGCCTCTCCCAAAACAGATCATGTATTAATGGCGAGGGATAGATGATTTCTGTTCAGATGAAATATCAACAAAGCTCTGCCTGTAGCCAGTATTTACACTGTCATGTTCTTCATAAAAACTAATTTTAAAATAAATAAGTTCACATTCATTAAGAGAAAATTTAGGGGAAAAAACAGGCAAGTAAATATTAAACATAAACTCAGCTTATCTCTGGTCCCAACTATAATTCTTTTAAAACTTTAACACCATTTAACTGCCTTCATATTTAAAATACAATAAGAACTACTAATAATTAATACTATTATAAGATAGTAAAAACATTCTCTGTCCCCCAACCTCCAGCCAAGAGTGCCTTGAAACAACTTATGCACCTGTGAATTTCCAGAATATTTTTATTGAATGAGCTCAATTTCATCCTGGCTTTGTGTTTGAGCCTAGCAAGTTTTATTTATTTATGTATTGATAGAGAATCCAGTAAAGGTTATGTGTCATGACCAGGTTAGTGGCAGAACCTGGGTAAGAATATAAACACTTTTATTTGTTCCCAAGCCCTTTTTCATCATGTCTGGCAAATAAGATTTCCAGTTCATTCGGGTTGAGATTATTTTTCAGGTTCAGGTGTTATTCAAGGGGAAAAAAAAAACATATCAAAATGGCTGATAGAACAAAACTAATTTATGCATCACTTATGTTCTTTGACCCTGAGCATCAGCCTCAGAACTCAACTAAGCAAAAATGTCACCTTTCCTGAATAATGAATGCTCATAGGGTACATAGCTTTTTCATATTCATTTCATTTAAGTGCCTGGACCATTTATGATCTCATCTAAATGACCTTGAACATTATTTCTACTTAAGAGCACTCATAGATCCCTAGCAACTTGAAAGAATTAGTGAATTTCATAGCTATCTAGTTTAAAAACAAGAATAACAAGGACAATCAATAAGAAATTAAGTTATATTTCTCATGATTTCCAGATCCCCAGGTCTCGTGCATTTTAGAGTCATGTGTATTAAAATCCCACATTGGACTGTTTCACTTTTTTGCATGTTCTCTATTTAAATGGCCATAGACACATATGGCTTCTGCTTATTGTTTAATGTTACTGAACATGTCAGTATGATAGATGTGACTTAAGAAAGCTCCTGCTTTCCATTACTTTTTTAATGTGACCACATAGGCAACCACCTTTACTCATTCATTCATTTGTTTATTCATTCATTTGTTTATAAATTTCTTTATTCAACAAGTACTGATTAAGTGTTTTGTGTACCAGAGTACTAGGCTTATGCGATAAAATGGTAGTGCAGAAATAATTATTACTTTCATAGGCCTCATATTCTAGTGAGAAGGCATAGTGACTTTAAAAAAAATGAAGCTTAAAATTGTGGTATGTATTTTGAAGGATGGGTGCTTGGTACTGTGAAAACTTAAAATAGTGTGAGCTGACCTAATAAAAAGTGATTATTAAACTGAAATCTGAAAATGTAAGAAAGAATTAACCAAATTAAGGCAGAGGAAAAGTATTAATCAGGTAAAGCCCAGAGGAACAGAATTATGATGCAGGAGATGGCACTGCATGTTCAAGCCACTGAGAGAATGCCTTAAGCATGGAGCTCTAACTCCATACTTGAGAGGAGTGGGGTCAGGCGGTGCATAGCCTTCTGGACCATGTCAAGTATTTTTGTCTTTACTGTAAAAGTGATAAAATAGTAATGGAAAGAATGTAGTGTGAATGGTAGGGAGGAAGATGGCATTATCACGTTTATATTTCCAAAATGCCACTCTGGCTACAATGTAGAGAACAGATTGAAAGGGGGCCAGGGAAAAAGAGAAAACATTATTTTCTGTTTGTCAGTCAACATCATTTGTTAACCACCCACAGTAAGCTGTAGATTAAACTAGGGGAAAAAATACAGTTCTTTCTTGAAGGAAGTTAAAGTCATCATGGGTTTGGTTAGGTATAGAAATAAATGTAAGGCTGTTGATTGTTCAGAACACTTTGGTTCTTCCTGTGAAAAGCATCACCTGAACCCTTTATGTGGGTTGTAATGTGGTTTCCTGCAGATAAACCCATTGAATCTGTGGGTCTTTGGAACCCAGTGGCAGTGCCACACTTTATAGTATACCCCCAAGTATTTTGCTCAACTTGTTTTAGTGACAAAATGTATTTGTTGTTTGAATCAACATTGTAACTACTACAATAAAGGACAATATTTTGTAGCTGCTTGTAATCTTTGTAAGATTGTTTTCATTTAAGTAGTTATTATATAAGTAGATACTGGACAAAAATGATTCAGAGATTTTGCCACAGTTTTGTTTGAAGTCTGCCATTGTAGGAAAGGGTGGTGTGTTGAGAAAGCTCTGAGTCACAGAAACTCATCAGTAGTTTCTAGAGGAAACATTCTGGGAAACTCTTAAAGTATGACAGTGAAAGGCATCTGTTTATTAAAAAGTTTATTTTGACTATGAGGTAATACTCAA